TGTGTCAGTGTTTGGCTATTTTTTTGTCACCAGGACATTTTAGTATCCCCTAACTCAAAAGCCTCGTGGTGTTTAACAGCCAGTGGGAACCTTTGTGACATTTGTGAGAAACAGCTGATTACTATAGCAGCTACAATTCGACACTTTTATCTTGCTGGACCAACGTGCTACCAGTTATTTAGAGGGATAGAATACTTGTCTTTGGCGCTCAATCCGAGATTCGACCTTCAGACCATGCGCGTTCTAAGCCGAAAGTAGTGTGGCGGCAAGTGGCGCTGCTTACCACGCGAGCGGTCCGGGGATCAAATCCTGGGTCGTGAGTCGCCCGGGCCAACCAAGCCTTCCATCCCTCCGGGGTCGGTTAATTGGTACCAGACTTGTCTGGGAGGATAAAAACACTGACTTGTACATCGGCTGGCCCCCGCAAGTCATTGCATTCAAATTGCCACGACGATTCTGAATGGAAGTAGAATGCGTGGCTCGCTCCAAAACGGTATTGATCAACGCAGGATGCTTTATCCTTTTTCATTACTTTTCAATTTTCAGAAGACGGGAGATCTATGGACTGTCTCAGGAAAACGAAAAGATGGGCTTGGCTTCAGCTACACTGCAAAGCATGTTGTATTAGCGTGCGGGAAGACGAAAAATAGGAAGCTTGAGGTATGTACGGCACGATGCCCTTCCGAAGATTCTTCTTACATCCGCCTCTAAATTTTTAAATTTTTTCGGCCCCTCTTTTGCTACTTAATTGTTCGGATTTCAGCTGCCAACGCATAATCCTACGTTGCCGATAGTTTATGGCATTTCAAATATGCGATCACGACTGGAGGACAGCAGTATTGAAGCAAGGTGAGTTTTTAAGTGTCCTTTTTATTCCCAAGAAGTTATGAGTCAGTCAGAGGTTGAATGTGGTGGATCCATTTCGGTTAGCTGATGTACTGAAAGGATTCTGAGAAGGGCAGTCTAGGGGCCGTATGCTATGCTTCCCCGAAGCTAAGTGATCCAAAGTTTCCTTTAAATTTATTTGTTTTGAACGATATAGTTTCTTCATTTTCAGTGCATGTTTACTTTTACCTACATACATACATTAAATGTAGGCCTTTATCAGGGCAATCCCAGTTGGGAAGACAGAGAAAATTTAAAGGATTTCGTCCCCTAACCCCTTCGGGGAGGATAGCATACGGCCCTAGGTGTGGTTTATCATTGAAGGCCATCAAATTCCAGTCATTTTTCTGTTGCACTGTATAGAATGATTGATCAGGTGAAAACTAGTTTTTCTGGCCAGAGTAAGATTACAATAGTGCATCTTGAATAACTTTACTGAATTTCACTGACGAGTACAGACTGGAAATTTTGGCAGTGGCTAGCAGCATCAGCCCGTGTTAAGTAGAGTTCATTAGGGAGATGAGAAATCTATCGGCTGACGCTGTACGGCTTTGCCAACCTGGAAACACGAAAATACCAGGTATTGGGCATAGTTAATAGCGAACGACAGAGCGTCAACTGCGAAGTGCGTGAGATTTTCTCGAAATTTCTTGTTTTCGGCGTTGTGGTGTTGATAAACGATGAATGTTCATTGTACATTTTCCTACAGACACAGTTCTATCTCGCTTGTCACCATTACACTATGGTGAATACCATAGTCGATTTATCGACTAAATGATGGAAAGAGATACACATCCACTGTATGAGATGAGTTATGCGTCGTCTGTAGTCGATGTCGACCAGAAGTCAGTGATCACGATAACGACACCAAAAGGAAATCGATATGTGAGTCCCACTTGTTGTTGTTGTATACCAGATAGCCAGTGTGACAAGGGTGGTTACTGAGGGCACTGGGGGAGCTTTGAAGGGCGGGGTGCATTTGTTGAAATGTTAATGGAAACGTCCACGGGTCTAGCAGTAGGCATGGGATTATCCGTGCAGCGCGCAATATGCAACATCGAGGAAAGCTCATTGTTGAATGCGACCGGGAGAAAATTGGATTATCTGGTCCAAGCGTCGCTTGCAGCTAGAATTGAAAAAATGCGGTTCTGGAAGGCAGATGTTCAGTTGGGGATTCCAGGCATGCGAATAGAGCGGAAAGCAAGATAAAACAAGTTAATAGATATGAAAACACCCTCAATCCAGGCAGGGGGGGGGGGGGCACTCTATTGTGTTCTCCAATACATAAGATAAGAGTGATATCCCTCGTGTCGTGACAAGTGACTGATCAAAAAAAGTGTACTTCTGGGATAGGGTGCAGCTACCCTCGCCGGGAATGGGTCTGCAAAACTCTGCGTATTTGGACCCCCGTCCTCCTACTCTTGGCCACAAGGACTGCGTCATTGACCGGAATAGAGACCAGACTTTTGGGAACCCATCCCCGGTAGAAGCTTGCTGCACACGCATCCTAATAAGCGCCGGTGTAGTGTAGGAGCACTCCTGAGATATCGCTATTCAGCCTGCAGTAGCCCTAGGAAACGGTCCTGAAGAAGGGGAAAGGAGAGCCTCACCTAGGGCTAAGGTGGAGGAGCTCCAGGGTGGATCACCTGTGCAGAAAAGTGGATGGGATGTGGGCAGGTAGTGTGGAATGTAGGACATCCACCGGTCCTTATCAAAAGTACGCTCGAAATGAGTCGTTCACTTATTATCTTATCCGTAGTGTTCGATAGCCCAAAGAGTGCTCTCTAGGACTAATTATAAGGATAAGATACCGAAGAGTCATCCCCCCCCTAACTGGATTCCCACCCAGCTCGCATATCTCCAAAGTGTAAGCAAGCTTTCACGGAGTTGATTTATTCGGAATAGTTATGGCAACGAATGACGTCATGCAAAGCAATTTTCCTGCACAAATGGATTGTTAGGAAGTAATTTGAGGTGATTATGAGAAAAAAATGCGATCATACCTGGCTATGGCACCTTTTCCGGCTTGCTCGGTAATTGATGAGCCAACAGAGGAGGGAATGGCTCAGAACTGGAGGGTTTGTTGTTGCCTTAGGTCTTCGGCAAGGGGTTGTTGGTAAGGAAGGGGATTTTATTGCTCATTAACCATTCACAGTCGCTGGATAGAGGCTTGGCAGAGTTTGCTTAATTGCCTTCTAAGCGTTTTCAGATGGGGGAGGGGGTGTGAACTGGCAAGTGACGCTACCCTATGCGCATGGTTTTGGGTTCATCTCGAATAGACTCCTACCTAGGGCAACCAAGTCTTCCATCCTTAATAGGTCGGTTTATTGGGACCAATTTCGTTCGGGAGAAGAAAAACCCTGTCTCGTTCGTTAGCTGGCCCCGTAAGTTATTGTATATGTCAAATCGCGTTCAAATCCCACTATGATCCTGCCGGAAGTAGAATGCATGGCGCATAACAGCAAGTACTGATCAAGGCTGAATGCTTATCCTTTCATAGCCCTTTTGGAGCGTATGGCTAGGCAATTTCACGATGGGCTTATGAATTTGAAAAGAAAGCCTCGATATTTATCCATTTTTATATGCGCCATGCACACGACAGCCATGCATCACTGCACTGGACGCGTTCTGGACATACCAGGAAAACCTCGACCAAGAAATAGCTTGCATTGAGTCACTGGAAAGTGACCTTCTTATCATTGCGTTTTTTAGGAGAAGTGCTCAATGCTAGTGGTGTGCATCGGGCGAGTGAGCGATTTGGAAGGTTTACTCACCGAGAAATATACCTTCACTGGATATCAATCAGAAGAGGACCCGACGTTATTGTGTGCCGGATCGTTTGCTGGCGACCACTTTGTCCGTTACGTCGTCGGTGGATGCCTAGAAGTGGCGAGATTGCTTACCGATTACTATAAAGACACTAATAATAATGATACTTAACGTTCCAAATTGTTATGCATTGTGTAGCAAGATTGTCGTCATTAGTGGTATTCTTTGAGAATTTCATCGCTGACGGTGTAACTCCGGTTCGCTTAACCCCACGTGTCTGAGCTGTGGGATCCGACGTTCAGGGGAGAACAATGATGATCTCGAATCAATTTTTTTTTGAAATATCCTCGCTTAACCATGACTTTTTTGAATGGAGAGTTTATTCCTGTGATTTTCTCCATTAATAATTATTTTCTACGCGTAGAGCTTTAATTACGTGTTTGTAGTGTGATGTTTATGATGTTTATACGAGTATTTATTTATAAATATGCAAGGAAGTGTACAAAAATAAAATGTTTGTTCTTTTTTCACGCGAACATGTATTATACTTGTGATTAGCTAGTAGACAAGCGCATCGCAAACCGCGTGTGAACCACATCAATGGCATTGTTTCTAAGTTTCGATTGGTACTTCTGGTACCATTCCCTTTTCCCCGGTATTGTGGGGGGAAAACGGTTTACGGGTTACTCGACCTTCTGCCGTGGTCCTGCCACGAACGGCTAGAGTATAGATGATTAGAGAACGGCGCCCGGCTTATCTCCATATGCCGTGGAGGAAGGTGGGAACTATGCCTTGTAGGACGGGGAGAGCTGGAGTGGGTGAGCCAGTGTAGCGAAAATTTGAGTATATGAGAAACTAATTGAGTTGGTGCTCGGTGCTTCCACGTTGGTGATCTTTCCAACTGTAATTTTGGCCGCGCCCCTGACATAAAGCATCCTTGTGTGCGCCGCGATTACAGTGGGCAATACAGAAAGAGCCTTTCAGGCAAGCACTTTGCCATAGCAAAGTTCCGAGTCAAAGTAGCTCATCAACATTCAGTCATGCTAGTTTACACGTGTGCTGCTGTAACTGTTCTTACTCGCCGTACCGCAGCCTTCTCAAGTATTAGGAATGTTGATAATCGAGCTATAAACTCAGGGTCAAGCGAGGCGTTGAGGAAAATTTGGAAATACGACCCCCCCCACCACCCTCCGCCGGAGGCCGAAGTCCATGAAACAACCCTCTTCAAAAGCCGAACTATGAAAAGGTTGAAAAGCTTGTTTGATTCTCCCCCAAAAGTGCTCATAAATGCCCTGCTACCCCACCGCCCACAAAAAAATTCGCTTAAGAATTAAAAAAGTGAAAAAGTCAAAGAATAATCATTATTGATGAGTCCTACCAAACGAGCAAACGAGAAACAGACCAGAAAACGACAAACTAGCCACTAAAAATGGCATACTATTACAAAATATCTTCTTTATTTATTTCCTCCACAAGACTTACCAAAATTCTAGTACTACACAGATTATGGTTCTCAATTTACACGTCCCCCTTTCGCTCAAGGAAGCCTTGTAAAAGCCTTCGCCAGCTGTGTGTTGACTGGACTTTGGCGTTGACCGTGGAGCAGCTTATTTACTATTGAAATTTGAACAAATATTCAAATGATTATAACTTTCTTCAAATATGACGAATTTTCAATCTGAAAGCAGATTTGGAAGTTTTGTGAAGAGCTTTTTCTAATCAGTACTGAAATTACAGGAAGTTATAAGAAATAACAAATTTAGATCAAATAACGAGGAAAATTCGAGACGAGCACGAGTTTTTACACTTTCCGGAGCAATAACTTGCTTCATTTCCGTCAAATTCAAAAAGTTGATACGTCATACAAAACTAGAAGATTTTCTCTACCAAACCGTTGCTAAAGCAGCTTTATACGTCCAGTATTCAAAAAATGGCCACGTTGAGGATTTCTGCAAAATTAACGAGGAAAATTTGTGATGAGTGCGGGTTTTTTTATTTCCTAAAGCCATAACTCCGTTCAAACTCATCCAATCCAAAAAGTGAATACGCCATCAGAAACTAGAAGATTTGCTCTATCAAATGCTAGCTAGAACTGCTCCCAACGACCAGTATTAAAAAAAAAACGGCTACGTTGAGGATTTTCGCACGAGTACCGCCGAAAGGCACTTTTTCGCTACATTGGCACTATTTCAACGGCTGTATATCCTTTTAAGGGCGTATGTACTAAAGTAAGAGCAGATTTGGAATCATTGCTTTTCTCTTTCTAAGAAAAGTGATTGATTAGCGTTTCTCAACTTTAAAGGTTACATGTTTATAAATTTAACCCTGAAGAGTCCGTTAACGCAGTGTTGAATGGTGTACACCTCCCTGTAAATGCGCACGGACACATTCAGAATTCTCTCGATTGTTCCTGAATTGAGGTTGTTTGTCCAAGGAGCCGTAGTTGAAGCGCGCGCAACAACTAGACCCTTTCTCGGATGCGCCGTGTACCTCACATCCCTTCAGATTCGGGGTCTTACTTGAAAGATGAAATATCTCTTGGAAAGCGTGCGAAATTCAGATTCTTTAACTTGTGTGGTGATAAAACACTGAAGTAACTAAGAATTACCGGACGCCTCAGAATCACGAAAATTTTGTGTGGGTGAAATATCATTTTCATTGGAAATCCTCTGGCCTGGCATCGACTCATCCTTGATATTTGTCTTCCGACGGTGATGATCCCACTGCATCAAAATGGCTCGATCTCTTCCACCCAGCGGGCCAATACGACCCCCCCCTGCGACGTGTCGAGGATTCCTCAACGCACGCTTGACCCTGGCCATACTTATACTTTCTATAATGAAGCACAGTTCCAAATTGGAGCTATTTCATACATATGAGCTCCGCTAGTTTCCTTGCTCAAAGGAAGCGATTACGATAAAGAGGGAGCCCATCGGGGAAGCATGTGCACCGCACGAATCAGTTACTTGGTTGCCAGGGAAGCGAGATGTGGCGCTTTCACAACCTAAGGTGCGCTGGTTGCTGAGCAGGACTTCGAAAGCGCTCCGCCCTCAAAGTGTTGTTTACTTGTTGATGGTGCCCGAGTTGCGTGGCCAGCAGCTGCGTAAAAGGAGCAAAGCGATTGAAGCGTTTGATATGGTGCCAACAATGCGGTGAACTCGTTCATACGTCCACTTTCTGAGCTGTTACCTGTTCTATGAGTGAGAACCAACGGCCAGAAAAGGGGGTCCCGCTTTTGCGTTTTCTTGACGGAATTTTTTGCCTTTTTCGCTATCGGCGTAGCACTGAGCACCGCCACGTCACACTTGACCCTTCTGAAATTTATTTATCTAAATTAAAAAATTAATTTATCTAATCGCTGCCTTCAGGTAGTTCATTTGACCGAACTATTCTCGAGAATTTTTTGCGGGGTGTTCTTCTTGGTAAGAGGATGAGGGCCTTATCTGGGATTTTGGGGGAATTCGTAGTTCAGGCCAATGGGAGACTCGTAGGAAAACTAAATGAGGGGTGTGGAGTTGGTGTTAACCAAATGATAACAGGTTCAGCGACACTGTCGACTGGATTCTTCCTTGAAACCGTGGGGGGGAGGGGGGATGCCGTGGAGGACGGGAGAGGGGGTGTATGTTCAAAATTTCCTCGACACATTCTCGTTTGCTCTGTGATAAGGTATCCGCTGGTCAGGTACCCGCTGGTCTACGATCACTACAGCCCTGTACGATTGCATTGCTTTTGCAAACGGCGGGAGTAAGGAGTACTTTCAGAACGATAACGAAGGACGTCTAATTGTTGGACAAACATCGAGCACTGATCAATCAGCTAGGACTGGTGTCACAACAATCTTTGGTCAGCTGTCTTGTAAATCGCATTCGTGTAGGTGAACAAACTGGCACAAGAAAGCTTTTTATACACAGCAGTGATCATTTACAGTACGATCCTATAAGCAACAGTTTTTGATAACAGCTGTTAGCGCAATGTGGCTCTGGGAGGGGGGCTGGTACGGTCGCTCAGTGGTAGCAATTCGTTTAACTCCAAAACTATGACGCATCCCTTCGCTTATATACGGCAACGATTAATGCACATGTTACAGTACTAACAGATGTCTGCATGAGAAGTAGCACAAGATGCGCTTAAGAAGTGAATAATTCCACTGATTATCTACTGAAGGACAATTCAACCATTGTATATGAAACGAGCAAATGGTGGTCTATCCACGACAGGGGGAAGAGGGTCCACACTATAACATTGCATCTGGGTCACACAAAGGCTAAGTTTTAGGACTAACCACAAGCCTTGACGGAGGAGTGGGTCTTCAAGGTGCGTAAGCAATTCATTCTCTCCGAGTTCTCTCTCTCTCGGCTTATGGTTAGTCCTAGAGGTTCCCTACAGATTGCCTTTCCAGGCACGTTGCGCCCAGTTGTCTGTTTAGTTCTTCATTCTGGGTGATATGAGAGAATTAGAGGATATTGATAGTAACATTTTCATTTCTGCGTTGCTTTACCG